AAAAAAAAAATACGTGTAATTATTCAACACGCTACCAAAGTAAAACTTCTTCAAACACACAAACATTCCGGTATAGGGGTTAAGGAATTGTTTGTAATGGTGTTATTTGTACACTATGCTTCGCACGGATGCAATACTGATAGTAAATATACTATAGAGTGTCTTTATATACAACAATCACAGCTTTTTTGTTATTAGACAATACAAACCGGCCGGTACCGCCGCAACCGCTATGTCCCTGCATTTTAAGTCTGTAATATCTTCGAAAATATTCATTTAAATTACATGCTGTAAAGGGCCATATTGATCTATATTAAATACACAATGTATTTAAAAGTACTTAATTGGATAAAGATTAATGTTGTATTGCTTAAAATCGCTTCGTAAATAAGCCATTATTTTTCGTAAAAAGTAAAGGATAAAAAATGGTTATTGTTGGTTATCCCTAAGAGATAGACATATACCATCCCGGACTTTTTTGTAGACCATTTTAATGTGTACAATATTGTAGTATATTATTTTGATTAATCTCGTACAGTTCAGCCAGCGTTTGCAATGTAAGCGCAAAAAAATGTGTTTATTTACGACATCACATTACAAACCTTTAAAATTATCAGTGTTTCTCTACTATATTATGCTTGTATTATACATATAAACCTTCCTCTTGAAATACTCTATCTATTAAAAGAAAAGGCATTAAAATCCGTTGCGTAGTTTTGAAGATTTAAGCATACATAGGGACAGACAGCGGGGGAAATACGTTGCATGATTTCGTTACATAGCAACTCGCATGAAACGAACTTACCCTAACGTGCGTAACGAAGTTTCACTTCAAAAAATCTTTGTTTGTTTGTATTGAATTTGTATAATTTAAATAAGTATACGGGTACGGTAAAGCATTCACAGCATGTAGAAATTGTACATTTCTTTATAGATATTTTTTCTTTTCATGGTGCACGATATTGATGAATTTGATTGAATTAATATTATCAACGTTTTCTTTTAGGAATCTTAAGGTGTTATTAAACGTTTTTTCTTGGGTTGATATCCGAAACACGTGTCAGAGATCATCGACGAATACATAAAACTAATTTTTCTATCCCTCGGGAACAGTATCTTTTTTTATTTTGGATAAAACGTTACTCTATATCCTCTTCTATATCCCTGACAATATGCGTACAAAATTTCATGATAATCGGCTGAGTTGTCAAGGCGTAAAGTAGTGGTAAGAAAAACAAACAAGCAAACGAACATGCAAAAAAATAAACAAACACATTCGCATTTATAATATTAATTAGGATTCACAGAAATGTAAAGCCGTTTTTTGTTTGTTCAACTTCTCTAAATTGTACCTTTGCGATTTACGAGAATTATTCACAGATCCATATGCAGCGTAGGAAACAAGGAAAATGGAAATATTAAAACATGACGTTCTCACGTCAAAGTTAGTTAGTTGTTCGCTTTTCCATTCAAACTTCCAGTTAAAGTTTAACAAAGCTGTCGCCTAATAAAATTCCAATTAGAAAACATCTGACGAAAGCTCTTACTGTTTCCGTCATTTAGTATATGTATATACATATGCATACGTGTTGAAATTTAAATTAATTATACCTACATATAAAACAAACTTCTTGAACGACGCGGAATACCAGACAAGACAATCAGAAAAGAAAAACATACTCATTAAGCTGCTAACTTCTATACACTGTGAAAATCTTATACGGTAGAAAATCCTTAATTAGTTTGATAGATAAACAAAGGGTGGTATAAGAAGACGCGGAGGCTGTGAAGCAACCGCAAATTAGGGGTTTGTTAATTATTTTCAACCTAAGCTGAAATCGTTACGGTAGACTGCATATTAATTACGTAGAAAAAGAATCACTGACTTTTGTTCGTTTTGTTTCTAACTGTTATAAGTTATAACGGGTGTGTTCCGAAATATAACCCAGCATACTGGCGCCATGTTGTACTGGTGTGCCACCATATTGTACTGGTGAGACAAGTGTGATGTAGTAGTATATCAAACGGATGTGTGTGTATCTGACTTTGAGGAATTTTTTGTTATAAGAAACTTTAATAACTTTTGGAGCAAAAGTGTTGTAAACGAGCACAAGCTCTATTCGTCGATTCATTACGTCATCAGCACTGGTCAGTATGCTCGGTTATATTTCGGAACACACCCAACATAACTTTAAAACGGTTTCACATTCCTAAAGCAATAATTTCAAAAGATGTATAAACATTTGCGGAAGCCCGGGACATCAATGTTTATTGCTCAAATTCACCCCTGCTAATAAACTTATGAAAACAAGTCGAGGTTACTACGCAGTTCTTTTGTTTTGAAATGAGATCTTTATTTCATTTTTTAATAAAAAAAAGACACTTCCAAGAAACAAAAGGTAACGTAATTGCCTAATAAAAATATTAATAAACAGAAAACAAACAAACGACGGTATTTTTCTCTCTGTTGCCAGTCAAGATTAAAAGCAAACAAATAAAATGTGGAGTAATGTTAAACGCATACATATAATTTACCAGAAATCGTAATTAAAAACTTACTTCATGTTAATATAAAGCAAGTACGAGATTAATTAAGTTTCTTATGGTAATGTAATGTAATTTTTACAAAGCGGCAA